TGTCTCGGGCCATTTGTGTTTATGAGTCGTGCTAGGCCAAAATCCGAGATCCTAGCATTATAATTTTCATCTAATAGAATATTCTCGGGTTTTATATCAGAATGAACAATACAGTCACGACATTCCTCGTGAAGGTAGGTAATCCCTTTTGCAGTCCCGAGTGCAATTTTATATCGATATCCCCAATTTAGAACTTTCTTAGATGACTGCTCGTCCGAAGTAAAGAGGAACTTATCTAGAGAACCGTTTTTCATGAACTCATATACCAACAACCTATGACGCCTTTCGCTACAGAATCCTAACAGTCTTACCAAATTTAAATGGTGAGTACTACTAATTGTCACAACCTCCATTCTAAACTGTTTCTCACCCTGCTCGATCCCCTCGAGCTGCTTCACTGCAGCCAAAGTTTTATTCGTGAGGACCCCCAGATAAACAGAACCAAATCCTCCTTCTCCGAGCTTTTCCTTGAACCCCTTTGTAGCCTGTTGGAGTTCCTTGTACGAGAAGTGAACCGGAAGAGCAGAAGCATATTCAGAGAGTGAATCCCAGGTAGGTAAACCTTCGAATTTAGGTTTTTGACTACAAAAAAACACCCAAAACATGCACGCTGAAATAACTAGTATCAAACAGCAACCTAAAACTATAACAGAAATTTTGAATGCATCGTAATCCTTATGAACTTCTCTTGAAGAGCGAGGAGGATTCGGCATAACTGGCTCACAAACCTTGACATAAGACGTGCTAGTAAGCGTTGGCGATTGATATCCACTGATAAATTCTGATAGTTTTAAATAACAAACTCCTGTCCCGTCTGCTAAGGAAGTTGAACCCAAACACAAATTATCAGAGAGACATAAAGACTTGCACGCTGTGATACTTGCTGAGTGAACCTGCGAACTCGTCTCTGGAGGGTATGTTAACAACGTAGAATGATTCAACGACAACATTGCTCGAGCCGAACAATCCGCAATTTCTACTTTCCTCTTACAACCCTTCCTAGGATCCTTTGGATCAATCGGATCAAAATTCTCCGATGGACATCCACACACCGGATTGAAGTCATCATCATAGCTGCAAATTCCCATGTTCCCACAATAACCAAAAACTTGACACTGGTCACTAATAGCAGTCCATCTCACAATTTTGTTCCCACTTCCACTATTCCTAGCAGAACTATAAGTTCTCAAATTCCCATCACTCTCCAACTTCACGAACCGAATAGAATCATCAGTAACCTCACCATAATCACTGCTACGAGCCATAATCAATGGATTTGAAAGCGTTGGGTCAAAAAGTGAAAAGATCCCAACTGGTTGTTGAAGACCTAAGCTTGGAGAAGTCAAGCTCGAGTTAGCTAATGAACCGTTAATCCCAGTAGAGGAATAATAGACAATCGTATCATTCCATCGAAGAGTCATATTTCCAGACCTTAATAGGTGAAACGAATACAATCCAGATCGCAAAACTTGGTCGACAGTAAAGTTTTGCCCTGGGAGAATTGTATCAGTGGGATTATCAAAGGTAGTCCATACTGGACCACTTCCATTACTGAGTATGAAGTTGCCTGAATTATCAAGGGTACCCCTGGAGACGCCCCGTCCAGCAGTATTCGACTGCCAGACCACAAAACCTTGAAGATAAAAAAAAACATGACGACAGGCTGATAAATGCAGTGAAATAGAATAGACAAATAGAAAAGAGAAAATACAAATTTACATGGCACCGAAAATTCTTCAACAAACCTGTCGAGGTGTAGACGAGCTGGAGGTTACCGTCGGCAAGGAAGCGGAGGGCGGCGGAGGAATTTACGGCACTACGTGGATCTCCACCAGCTTTCCAAACGGGAATTCCGTTGTAGATTATGGCAGCAAAGTAGATGTTTTCAGCTTCTTGTATGAAGGAAAGTGAGAATGTTCCGTTCGGAGAATCCCATGAATTTTGTGGGTTTGATGCATACAGGGTTGAACCTGGAAAGACATCCGCTGCTGATATTACAGTTGGGAAGAAGATGAAAATCAGACAAAACATCTGCATATATGGGAACTTCATTTGCTTCTCTCTCAGTAATCTTGAAAATTCAGATATATATTAACGATGAAATTCAGTGTAAGAAAAGTACAAGGACAAAGTGTTCATCAAGATACAATTTCAAGAACACAAATTGACCGCGTCTTTGCCACGAACCACACGCCACTTCACCCAATCAAGACCAGGTTTCACGGGTTACCTTTCTTCTTAGCACAGAAAGGAACACCGTGCGGTAGTAATCTGCTCCGCTAGACTTCCTTCCTCATATTCTCGATCGTTTCGTGACAAAAGAAAATTTGATTACAATTTGTAGAAAACTAGCAACAGAGAATATA